GCTACAGCTACTGCTGCTGCTACTACCACAATTCTCATTACCACCACCACTGCCAGCAGAAGTGTGGTGGTGGCTAGCAATACAAGGAGCAGTAGCTCTCCGGATTGCACTTCACTTGATAAGACTAGAGCCTATGGCATGTATGTTTGCGACGGGAAGCCCTCCTGCAGTAGCCCTTCGGGCCCGTTTGTGCAAGGAGGCTGGCGTGAGCAGTGGGAAGGTTCGCATCCTGGATTGCGTGCAGAGCTGCTGGCTTGCATGTAGGTTGGGTTCAACCCATTGCCGCTGTAGAAGGCAAAGTCGCTTGGACTTCGTTTGTTGCTGTGGGGATGCAGCGGCAAAGAATGCTTGTCGGACTGGCGACTGCATGTTTTGTTTTGACTTGGAGGTACACGGAAGTTATACTTACAGCGGATCTTCGGATGGAAGTTAGGAAACTGATCTACGAATGATACCCGGCTCCTCAGCTTTGCTCACCCTGTGGAAGAGACCTTAAGCTGCCTCTGCGAAGCTTATGCGTTGCAACGCGGCCGAAATCGCAGTCGAAGGTCTGTGGGAGAGCGTCCACAAGCAACAGTCGCTTGCAGATGCAAAGCTGCTGGTCAAGGATCGGGTGGATGGCCACAACATTTCTACAACAACCACAAAGCTGTAAAACCAACCCTAGCAGCAACAGCCATATAGTGTTGACCCCTGATCCATCACACCCGCCCCCTCCATCCCCCTTTTTCACCCCTTGAGTGTCGCCAAGAGGGAGGATCCCGGACCCCAAAATCATGCAGAAAAGTAGCAGTGGCAGTGCTACTGGGACTAGTACTAGGACTACTACTAGTACAAATACCAGCACGCGTAACAATGGAAGAGCTGCACGCTTCATCCCTTCTCAGAGATAGCTCAGAACGATGCAAACATATGTTTTCCTAGAGCATGCAGGTATGCATGCATTCCATCGATACATCCACACATGTACACTCGCGTAAATGCGTGCATACGTATGTATTGGCATTCATCCATAAGTTCATACATGCATATATGTATGTATGCATGCATGCATGCATGCATGCATGCATGTATGCATGCATGTATGTATGTATGTATGTATGTATGTCTGCATGTGTGTATGTATGCATGTGTGCATGTCTGTCTGTATGTATGTATGTACGTACGTATGTATGCATGTATGCATGTATGCATGTATGTATGTATGGATGTATGGATGTATGTATGTATGTGTGTGTGTGCGTGCATGTGTGTGTGTGTGTATGTGTGTGTGTGTATGTGTGTGTGTGTATGTGTATATGTATATGTATTCAATAGCTACACACATACTCACAATCACACAAGCAAAGCAATAGGTAATAACATCCAAGTCGACTAAGTAGACTAAGTAGGTATATAAATGCTGATGAACACTGTGCGAATTATGAATTTGTATATGGATATAATATCAATGTGTATACTATATACATATATATATATATGAATGCATGCATACATACATACATACATACATACATACACACACACATATCGATAGATCGATAGAAAGATAGATCGACGGATTGAAGGTAGATGTGTAGATAGATATGCAAGAGCAGGTGTTATATGGCATAGTCTGTATACACGAACTGGTGTGTAGGCAAGACGCGGATTGTGATATATGCACCTAGACATTAACCCATTACATTGCTACAGTTATTAATGGTCATGAGTACTGGTACTGTCGTATTGATTTGTTCTATTTGTCGTGCCAAGTGGGTGGCAACAAATTGTTGCTTACGTGTGTGTGTATATATATATATGTGTGTGTGTATTATGTAGACTGGGACTTGAGTTTAGTGATTCTCGGAATCGCCAGAGGAGTCGCCAGACCGATCCCCCATCGTTCTGACGGCACATTCCTGGATCTTGAAGCAGGCGAGGAAAGACTGGAAACAGGAGAGGCATTGTTTGGGGGCTTTGGGGTTCCAGCTTCAGGAAGTCATCGTGGCTCATGGCCGACTTGCCTGTACCGCCCAAGTAGGACTCGTGCAAGACTGCGTGACGCGGACACACAAGTGCTCCGACAAACCTCAGGCTTGCCCGGGAATGGCCTTGAACGAGGACAAGGAGGTGGGGAACTTAGAATAACTTAGAGCTGAGTCGCATTTGGATATGCTGATTTTGGCAGCAATGTGCATGGTTTGGTCTGGCACCTGCAAGTGATGCGGTAATCTCAGCCTGGAGAAGCGACCACAGACCAAGCAATCAGGCCTCACAGCCACCGGCCCGAAAAGCAAAACTCGTCACCCTCTGACGATAAGAATCCGCCGAAGCACAGGTGGAGATTCGCAACACGCGGGACGTGGTGCAAAACTTCTTGTCCCTGGTCTACTCGGGCTGCTATCTTGAGGTCTGCCGGTAAGTTGCCGTCGCGACAAGGAACCAAGTAGCCTGCCTGGAAGCGTTTTTCCGGAATCTCACTATCATTTGATGTTTGGCCTTTGTCCCCTTGTGCTACTACGACACGAAGCCTCGGAACCTTCTGCGGCCTCTGGACCCTATATGGCGATTCCTTGACATGAGGGGTACCTTCGTCAGGGTGTCCTCATGTGAAGGTCCCAGAGGTGCTGCCTGATGTTCTGCAACACACTATCCGCCAGGGTCGGCCCACTTTGGACGTGCTGCTGGAGATCTGCATTCTCGCAGACAAGATTCTTTGATACATTGGCGAGCTAGACTCCTTGAAGGTGATGTGCGATGACCTCTCTTACCTGTAGTGCGTCTGTTTCAGGATGAAAGCCTGGACAATTCTTCGGCCCCTCATCGGACAAGTTCGGGAGGACTGGTGTCCGGTGCTTGCTGGCGGAACCTTTAACTTCCTGTCGTGGACTCAGGCACTGTTCAACAATCAGACGTTTGTAGATTTTTGCAGGAGCTTGCCCTCACAACCTTCGCTCAGATCTGCACTGTTGCCATCTCGAGCCTCGACATCGCAGAAAGATGTCCCCATTTGCCTCCTTGCCTTCCGGGTTGGAGTGCAGCGGAGGAATGAGAACGCGTACTTGCTCATCGATTGCCAAAAATTCCTGGAGCGGTCTGCCCCTCTGGAGGATGCCTGGGTCGCTGGCCTGCCAAGACAGGCCATCCTAGGGCTCTCCCTTGACGTTCCTCAACGGATGCAGGACTTGGTTCAAAAGCTTAGCTTATTTGACAAAGATAGTTTCGCAGTTCCTATTCACAGGGTTGCAGGGGGATTTTCGATGGTACGGATCCCGGGCAGGATTTGTCGCGACAGTTGATGTCTTTTGAATGCTTTCTTTGAGCTTTCGCGGTGGCGGCCTGAAGGGTTTGGGCATCTGCAGCCCTGCGTCGGGGCCCGCGGACAGGTGCGGGACTTCATCCAAGAAACATTGGGCTGGCGCGCCCAGCAGATGCAGAACCGCATGCTCTGAGGAGCTCCGAGCGCAGGCCGCAGGACTGCTCCTAATTACAGTCTCGTGAGTCTTTGAGCATTCCGAAAGGAACCAACGGGAAGCCCCAAAGGTTTCGGGCAACCCCGAAGGTCGGAACACATCAGGAGAGGTGCGGGTTTCAGAAAGCCGGTGCCGGGTTTAGGTTTAGGGACCCTTAAACGGATGATACTGTTAATATAGTGTTAGGGTTCTATATAGAAGGTTACCGGGTAATTACCGACTGTATGTTCTGAAACTCCCATGTAAGAACGTAGGAAGGGAGGACTGGAAATGCATGTTTGCGCGAGGCAGGCATGTTTGGTGCCAGTGGCTTCCATCACAGGGCGTTTTGCCATTTGGGAGTCTGAGTTCTCGGGGTTGAAGGGTGCCTCCTCGTTTAAATTGAAGAGTCTGGAGAGTACGCCCCGATCTGTACAAGCAATGATCTAAGTCAACTTTGGTACTTACATAGAGCTTTGGCTTCGTCGTGGCGTCAGCTGTCCTCAATAAGCATGTGGACTGATGCCCTGGCACTGATTCCGCGGGGCAGAGTCGGGTCAATGGCGCTCAGGAGTAGCGAATTTGCACTTTGCACTACCGGAGCCTGGCATAGAACATGTTTTGTGCCCGCGCATGTGTGTCTGGCGCTCCTGATGACAGCGCCAGGCAGTTTCATATGAGAGCTTGCCCGGTGGGAAGAGTGCTTGCTTGGGTACAGCCAGGGATTCTGGACGAGATGGTATGCAATATCGTTCGTGTACTGACTCCTCAGAGCCGGTCGGCTGTTTGGAGATCGTGGATTGGGGCTTGCAGATAGGTACATGGTCCAAACTCGCCAGTGTGGGAGCTTGTTAATTTCACGTGTTCTCTGTGGGTGTTCAAACTCGGAAGGCCTGTAGCAGCCGTGGTTAAAGGCATGCCATTCCAGCTCAGCAAAGTAATGCAGCATAGTGTGTCAATATATGTTCATGCGAGCAATGCTGTGTATTTAAGGACTGACATATCTTTGAGCAGGAGCACCATTCGGCCCACTTGACCATCATGCCAGAATGCTTGCATAGAGTAGGCTTGCAGTAGCGTCTCCATCCACACGAACGCCTGCAGCCAATTCTTAGCTCAGGATGGAGAGACAAGACTTAATATGAGCTGCAGACCAAGAGGGCGCTTCAGGAAGCAGCATTGTACCTGCTCCAATCGTAGACTGGCCTTCTCGTCGCCCCTGATCTCAGCCCACAGCCTAGGGGTCTTGTTATTGTGGCCTTCGGGCTTCGAAACTTTAAGAACAAGCAAGGCATTTCGAACTCAAGTAACTGCATGGCATGAATCCCAATCGTCCTCTTCCCGGGTAGTTGGTACGCAGCCCCCAAGACGCCAACACAACCGCTCTCAATCTGAATCCAAGACAGCACAGCGCAGACAAGGGACTGGTCACAAGCAAGCCGGAGCGGCTGCAAAGCAAGACGGGGCTTCGTGGCGGTGCCATGGCCCGGCAGCCGCCCCCGCCGCCCAAGCCTCAGAGGCCGGATAATCCGCACGTGTAACCCTGACATCCCTTCTTGTTTTTTGTGTGCTTTCTTGTCCTTAAACTTCCCTCACATCTTGAGCGACGGACGACAGCGATGACATGAGCGCGACGCCTCAATCCTGCTGGATGGTTTACGCACGTGTCAACGAACCAGTAGATAGTCACATAAAATACACATGCAACGAACCCCTACGTACACACATGCATGCACACGTACAGACCGAGACAGAAAGACGGACAGCTAGATGCTTCCGAGAGGCAGGCAGACGGACGGACAGATATAGACCTACCTACCTACCACCGGCCGACCGACCTACGTGCCTACCTACTTACCTACTTACCTACCTACCTGCCTGCCTCCCTGCCTACCTACCTACCTACCCACCTACCTACCTACCTACCTACCTACCTACCTACCTACCTACCTACCGACCGGCCCATGCACACATAGACCCTATGCAGATGCAGACGTCCAGAGTAAAGCTAGGTCCTGTCTGGGACAACAAGAGGGCTTTCGACGTTGTATGGTTCCTGGTGCCAGGCAATGGTCTTGCAATGCTGCCCTTAACAGCGTTTTCTTTACAATGTCGTGTTGCGTGCTTGCTCAGAGGACCCGTGGCGCTGCTGGGAAGGCTTTCTGCGGCGAAAGGGCTTAGTGACTTAGTGTGGGTGTGGATTTTGCTGAGCATTCCCGGCGGCCTAGCGAAGCCCAGCTTTTGCTCGCCGCATATCAAGTCAGGTGGTTCACTCTTGCCTTTTTCAGCTTGAAAGAGAGGAGGAGGGAAGTCCAGTAGTCAGCCGAAAGTAGATATGTCCAGCAAGGCTGAATCCAACCAGAAGCACACCAAGCCCTTGAAACCTCGCTAGGAGAGTTAATCAGCAATCTGCCAAGAGATGCATTGCCTCACCCCAGAAGGCTGCTGATCTCGAGCATTTCCTGCAGAAGTCGGATGCACTGCGCAAAGCGGGCAACTACAAAGAAGCCATCCAGGCACTGACCCGTTGACATGTTGCCGGGAATTGGTCCCCCCTGAGCTGGTTTCTTGCTGATTTGCCCTTACAGGGATTCAGACCGTTGTTTGGCGTTCAATGCCACTAGTCATTCGCCATGCTTCTGGCGGGAGGACCTCGCAGGCTTCGCCTTTCAGCTTGGGCCTACAAGTACGAGAGGGGGCTTATGACCTTACGTGTGATGACGGCGTGTGCTTTGCAGTTTCTGTAGCTCTTAAGTTGCAGGATACGAGCACATACACATGTATCTATGCATGCACGCATGCATGCCTGCATGCCTTTATGTCCGTATGACACCGTGCCAGTGTGCCTGAATGTGTGTGTGCGTGTGTGTACCTATGTATGTATGTATGCTTGTATGCATGTATGCCTTTATGCCTGTATGACTCTATGCCTGTATGGCGGTAGGTGTGTGTGTGTGATGTGTATGTCATGTGTCTCATGTATGTGTGTAATTAAGTGAATGCGTATGGATGTGTATCAATGTATGTATGTATGTCATGTATGTATGTACGTACGTAGGGAGGGAGGGATGGAGGGAGGGTTATGCGTAAAACTAATAAGTAATATCAAGGGGTGTATGTATACTTGCACGACAGATTCATGCTTGTATGTGTTAAACACTGAACACACGAATGAGCCTATATACAGATAGGTAGAGCGACTGATAGATGGACAGATATAGATAGATGGGACTATAGGGCTATAGCTTGTATATCTTGTAGTGCTGTGGCCCGGACTTGCTGAGTAGCCCGTCTTGCATGCCCTCCTGCAGGTCTTGGATCGGGCCCTTCTCCTGGACCCGCAATGCACGCAGGCCCCGCCTGCCGCATTCATACGAAGAGCCGGCTAGACGCGCGCATACGTACTTACCCACATGTCTACTTCTATTTGTATGTTTGTGGTGTCAACGAGGAGCGTTTGACAAGATGTTTGTCACGACATGACACAAGTCATGTCGCGTGCCAAGACGCTGCTAGACTTTCAGCAGTTGTAGAAAATTCGATCTAGGAAGTCGTGGCATGCTGCTGGCTGTCATGTTAGCTAGTTTGACTCGTTTTTCGATCTGCAGGTACAAGCAATCAAGCAATGATAGGGTCTAGCTGGGCTTGCTGTTAACAGTTTATACTCGTCTCCTGGCTTGTTCCGAAGATAGGTAATGCTACTGCTTTTCAAACTTAGGGGTGGCAAGTGACATTTTCAAAAACAAACATCATCGCATCATATGGCATCATTTGAGGGCGTTCGCTACTAGGCAGTTGCGGATGCAAGTGCTATCCAAAGGCTTTGTCTGCGCGTGGTGCAGCTCGCCGGGCATTGCTACAGCGAGAAGAGGCATCGGGAGTCGGCTTCTGTTTGGTGGCCGTATGTGGCCGTTGTACTGGGATGGCGAACAAGGTTTAACTTCCGAGTTTCCAGATCTTGAAAGTCTTCCTTGTTTTAGATCGATAGATAGATAAATCGTTGGATACATACATACAGATTACACACATACATACCTTCCTGCATACCTAAACATGAGTGCATGCATACAGTGTGTATACGTGTGCCATGGTGCTGGACTTTCAAATAGAAATACTGTAGTTTTAGTAGTGGCAACATCGTTATCACCCCGGTTCGTTTTGAGCAAGAATAGCCATCATAGTCATGAAAGTAAAAACCGCAGCCTGAACAAAAACCTTAGAATGGCAACAATACAACCGTAACACTAATCATCGTTATTATCACCACGGCGGCAAAAACATTCATCGACAGGTGCGTGTGTATACATGTATATATGTATGTTTATATATATATATATATTACACATATACTTGTATGTAAATAGAATTGTAAGCACACTGTACACAGCATCCAACCTCTTGCTTTGCAGCGTGGCAAGTTTTGGCAAGCCGTGCTGTGTGGCTTCTGGAAGTATGTTATTTAATTGCATCTTCTTCGATGTGCATGCGTGGTACTGAAGTCTCAGCCAACAGTCGGCTGGAGCACGTCTCAAGCTCCGCCGTGGACACGTACATGCGGGCTTCGACTCTGAAAAGGTAGTTTCAACTTTCACATCTCGGAAATACAGGTGAGGCCGCAGGAGACAAACCGGCCGAGGCTTCCGATGAGTCTAACCGGCCGAAATGATATCTATCTAACAATATATGTATCTCTCTGTCTGTCTGTTCCTATGCATGCATCTATTGAGCTAACTAGCTATCCTCTATTTTCTAAGCTAGCTATGTCCCTGCCTATCCATCTATCTGTCTATGGAGGTATGTCAACAGGTCTGTATGGAGGTACGCATCCATGCATGCATGCATGCCTAAAGTTTCTGCAGTTGACCTTTGCTGCAGGCGTTAGCCGACTACTCTGCTGCCATCGCGCTCGAGCCAAAGCTTCCTGGTCCAAGGGTTTGGTTCAGTCGAGACCAGATGCAAAGCCAGAGCTCTTGGGGTGCGGGTTTAGGGGTTTACAGTTGTGGGTGCCATGTCCGGGTTCCAGCATAGCCATGTACCCTCAGACTTCAGGGATTAGGGATCCCAAGAGCTGTCCCGGCTGAATTCCACGTGCTGGCTCCATGGTTATGCTTGAACACCGATTGGAGTAGGAAGGACAATGTACAGTAGGCAAAGCCCACTGGCGTGCTGAAGGCAAGCAAGCACATGGAGGGTTGCCTTAAGACACCGGAGGTCTGCACTCCACCGACCCGGCAAGATCTGAGTCTCAGCGCAGTTCTTGGTTCAATCGAGGAGGGCTGCCTTCATCAGCAGCCGTGGAACTGTCAAGAGCGAGCTTGGATGGTACAGCGGCCTGTCAGCAGTGGCGAGAACTGTGTGCCGGAAGCAACTCGGTTTGGGTGAGTTGCATCCTGACGCGAAGCTTGAGCAAAGGAGATGCCGTAGCCGACTTCATGACAGCCTTGAAGCTGGAACCTGACTACAAGGCTCCCTGGCTCTCCGGAGAGTTCCTGCTACGACAAGGGTTTTTGGATATATGGGGCTTCTTGGAAATGAGGGGGGGCCCTTACTGTGAGGTGTCCATTAGGGCCCCTTGGATCCTGAAACCCCCATATTTGGTTGGATGCGGGGCGCTCTCTGAAGCGCTCGGGAGGTCGAGTGTCCAGGGCACCTTGCAGCCGATGTCCTAAATTTTAAAGAAGTTTAGGAACTGGGGAACTGCGCTGCTCTCAGGTTGCCAAGTTCGGCATGGAGTTGGTGACGCTTGCCAGCATTCAGCGCAGCAACAAGCACATCACGGGTCTACGGAGTCTAATGCGCATCTACAAACACGCAGAGTCGGCAATGCTCTCGTCGGACAAGAGAGCCCTAAGGAAAACACAGCAAAAGGACGGACCTTTGCGTCCCTGCCTCAGCTTACCCGTCGCCGCAGAGCCCCTGCATCTCACTGGCTCGGTTCCTGAGGGCAGTGTGTGCTTAGGCATCTCCCTCAGATGTAGTATGTATAGCTGACCAAATCCTGACCAGGAACAGAAAGAGCTAGGACGGCCACCCGAATGGCGTGCCTCACATCTCGACATGAAGCCCTGAACAGTTTGCCCGAGCCCGCAAATCTATGGCACCGCCCACCAGTGTCTTCTGGTGCAAGTTTTACTTTCTCCTGTTGCGAAGAGCATCCTGAAGATTTCAACAGATTCGGGACACTGACACGAAGTTTCGTAGCGCAACTGTACAAGGCATGAGCCAAGAGGCATGAAGAGGCATCGCCAGAGCCACAAACAAGCGGCCCATTGCTGGAACATTGAGTATAGCATGATGCGTGGGGACCTTTGTTGTCGCTTGTCCTTGAGTTGCCGTACAGATGCCGAACCAGTAGAAGGAGAAGCCTTCACCCTTTTTTTTGCCGCACTCTCCCACCGACTCGCGCAGCTTGCCTGAGAGCCTCTGCGGGAGCAATGCTAGGAATGGTCGTTCTCTGTGGCTTCAAGAACATGAGCTGCATGATCCACGGATGCATTCAGCACAAACTTTGGTTTTTACCGAATCTCAGCGTTCACACCACATGTTCTGCCGATATGGCTGCGTATGACAACTTGCCGGGGTTGTGCCGGACACGGACTCCGCTTGTTCTGCTGCAGAACCCCCTGGGATTTGTGCAGGGATTCTTGTGAGCTCAGGAACATGACCTATGTAGAGCGACGCCAGAGGGATTCGCTCATCCATGGCAGAGAGTCGCAGCTTGTTCTGATGATACGTTAAATGTACCACTGCAGACTGAAAAGCTTAACAGCTGTTTGTCGCTGTGTTCTCAGTGTTCTCGACAGCTTATCAGAGCGCTACACCCGAAGCCGAGCTGGCAAGGATCACAGACGCACGCAAAGTTGTCATGGCGGGCTGACGAGTTCCGAGCCCGACCGATACAGGTTCTGGTCCTTGAACAACCAGTATGTCCTCTATTTCAGCACTCAGGCACCGGGAGGTGTTGGGTTGTTTCGGACGCAGAGCGATGATGGAAGATGTTGCGACTTGAGGTGAATCTTTACACTTCATTCTTAAGAGTATCCTACACTCGGGGCCTTGAACTTCGGGGTTGACTACAAAGCATAGTCGTAACCCCGGAACTAGGAGGATCCTCCGCGATTCTTGCAGCTCGTGACGTGTGGCCTTCTTGAGTTCATAGCAGGATTACAAACAGCTGGGCATTGCACTCATGATCCCTAGGCTCTAGCTGTAGACCATGCACCTCAAAGCCAAAGTCAGCTGGACGGGTGGGAAAGAAAAAGCCATGCAGTATGCCACAAATTGCGACTTAAATCAGGAAGGCAGGCTGCGAACAGCAGAACTAGACAACTTCCTCGACAGACCAGGGCATTGCGTTTCGCATCGCAGGAGAACCGCTGGAAGGGATGCCGAGCCATTGACGTCCCACGTATCACCACGGAGGCTTATGTGGGGCTTTCAGGCATCATTGGGCAGATTCTGGGCAGATGTGTCGCGCCGAGCTTTGTTGGAGCTACACTTCTCCTACTTCAAGCTGGGTCTCCGAGTGCTGTTGGGTAATGCGCCTATGTAGCCGGTGATTTCATTGACTCACCGTATCACCCTCGACATATTTTTAATAACTCACAGCAAGTCTCTGCTTTTCACCAAAAAACCGAAAAGCAAATAATAGCAAGTACAATCGTGACTTGTAAGACAATGTGTAGATGTGTAATCTCCGGATGCCAGGCTTCGCCGGCTTGCGTCGGAGCGCCTGAGCACACCCACCTGTTGTCGCCGAGCCTGCGGAAAGGCAACCGACAGTGGATTCAGAGGATATGCCTATTACTAGCCTATTACCACATGTCAGTATACGAGCCTAAGTGTTGAAAGCTCTGATCTTGAAGCGGACAAGCGGATCTGCACCGCTGGAGCTGCTTCCTTAATGCCGTAGCGTCGGGGATTTTCGTTGTCGATCCTCCTAGCGCGTTCGAAACTTTAAACGACTGCACGAGGACGTAGGCATCGTGGGCCACAGCAGTCAGCATGGGAACAGCACGTGGCAGGCTGGTTCGAGTGGTCCGGCAGGCACTGGGTTAAGTGTCTCGGTCGGCAAGTATACAGCAGAGTGAGCGCCGCTCTTCAAATTCAATGCCTCGCCGACCGCGTAGCGACAGCCGTCATCTCGCAGCAAAGTTTGTGTTTCAGGGTTCCCGATGCTGGAGTCTTCAACGTCGGCCCGGTGGTTGCAGCGCTTCGCATCGTGACGCTGCAGGGCTTTGGGCTGCTTGGACGCGGTGCTGTAGCATTATGCATCTACGGGCCTAAAGGCCTAAACAACAGCCCAAGATCTTTGCCCGCTGACACGTCGCCGACTCAGGCGGCATGCAGTGAACACCAGCTTCATGGAGCGGAGACAGCTGGAACTCAGTCTGCAGATATTGACAGTCAGAAGCGAAAAACAAGGTTCTCAGGTTTGGTAGTGCCAATGGCGGCAAACTTGGGCTCGGACACGAAAGTTTCCAGTTTCGCGACCAGCCTGGCTTCTTTGAGGCTCTCCCCCAGCTTCCATGAGTTTGTAAACCTCTCCCTTCGGGCTCCGGGCAAGCACCTTAAGATTATAAGGTGGGCTTCAAGTCTGCAGAGATAGAAGAGAGTCCGGTGCAAAGGGACTGCCCCAAGTTTTGGAGTGAACACCGCTGCCTCAAGGAGTTCACGGTTAACAGCCGCGAGACATACTGGCCGCTGATCTGCAGAAGTTTGGCAGGGAGATTTTACGGGACGGGTTGCACTCCGAGAGGTCGGTGGATGAGGCGCTCTTCATCTACTGGTGCTTTGGTTGCAAGCATGGGGCTAGCAGGACGTGTTCAGCACGTCTCGAAGGATGCGATCATGACGATTGGGACTAGTGACCATATATTGACCACGGGACATCGAAGGGTGCTGCCGCTGCAGTGACTGCCACAACCAGGTGCCCTCGCGAGGCACGGTGGCGAGGCGCACTGTGCGTGATGTGAGGAGCACCCTTGGAAGTCTGAGCATCGGCTTCCAAGATGAACACGACTTGCAGGCACCCGGCAGCAGGACCTTGAGAAGATCCAGAAAGGAGAATCGGTGGCTCAGCTCTGCATGCAGAGCACCTGGGTTTCCATGCATCGTGGTTTGGGAGTGCTTTCTTTCTGCCTCTGTGTTGAGCAAAGCTCCAAGCGCCTTCTCCATTAACCTCGCAAGTTCGAGTTGGCAAAGCTGAGTGTCGTAAACTTTTCAATAACGATCACACGCTGTGAGCTGCCTGGCATTTGTTGCCTGCCTGCTTCACGACTTCTGCCCGTGGCTCGTGGCTGGGGTGCTTTGCTCCCAGGTGGCGCTTTTTGGGGCCCCACGAGGCCTGCCGCGCGGGGTTTTGCAGAGATCATGTAACCATATGTGTAGACATATATAGCTAACTATATATGTTTATGTGTACATGTGATGAGTCGTATATTGTCAGGCATCTTGTGAGCCTGCTCTGACTGCCGTTCGATGGTACCTCAGGCATGGATACAACGAGTTCATGCGGCATGATAATATTACAACACTGCTTTTTATGAAGAGTATAATACGAGAAAAGGTTTGACATTACGGCAACATTTTTTGAAATGCAAAAGCATAGTCAGGCATAGTCTGAAGCATTGCGACAGAATGTGTCGCATCGCATTATGATATGATGTTATTGTGTCTCACCTTATACTGTATTGTACTATGTGATATTTGCTGTATCATAATACTAATTATACTATGTACTGTACCACCAACTAGAATCATACATTTCACTATAATTACTCTACTTTGAGTTTAGTATCTTTTTTCACTTGTCAACGAAGAAAGATCGGCTTTTCTACGCGTATAGTACTGCAGTAATTCCCCTACCCTATCAACCCCGATTCGCCTCAGCGCTTTCTTGCTGCAGCGGCTGAGGCCCGCTCGTCGACGTCACGCATTCTAGAGTCATAGAGATGGCATGCTGAAGAAATTTCGAGCACGCAAACCTACTCCCTCCAACTTCCAACTGCCGACCGCCAGGAAGCGATATCCTTTCCCTGAAGAAAGGACTGGCTGCAAACTGCACAAGCAGCGCAAGAGTGCCGTGTGCCGTCGGTGTTGTGCAGGATGGCACGAGCTTCAAAACAAGGAGTGGGTGACCCATTCCTATGCAGGCGCCTGCCCCCCTCCCCCGCCCGTGAGAGTTGTGAACCTTCCACGGCCATAGCGCCGGAAGCTTCGGATTCTCCGATGCGGCGTTCGCCACTTGCATGTTTGCCGAGGCTGTGCTCTGGCTTTGTGATTTGTGATTTGTCGTGTCCAGTACCGTATCATGTGATACCATATCATACGGTGAAGAAGTAGCGCAATATCTGAAAATGTACAAACAAGTGAATAATTAGAGAAACAGGTTCTTGAAAACATATAAATAAACAAATAAATAAACAGATAAATAGATAATGAGTGAATATACATATATATAGATAGATAGATAGATAGATAGATAGATTCATGTAGACATGAATATGTCGACGATGTACCGAATCTGTTCGAAGCCAGCAAAGTCGAGGCAAAGCTGAGCACGAACACCGCCTTGATGTGCAAGAATGTACGCAGTACACCGTGGGTTGAGTCATAAGCAGGCGTGATAACCAATGACCAGAGGATCTCTCGGTGTGAATGTCTTGACGTATATGTACATATCTAGACAGGTCGATCGATCGATCGATATAGAAGTAGCTGCATCTGCATTTGCATGTTTGCACGCGGTAAAATCTGAGAAACCCAGCCACCGAGGGGTGTTGGTTCTCTCTACTTCGGGAGCAGCTTTCCGTGCACTGACCAGGCACAGTGATCGACAAGCGGTCCCTGTGCAAGCGCACCGTGATGCTGTACCCTGGCCGACACTGACGAAAGAAATTTTGAGAGAGAGAGAGAGAGAGAGCTCAAAATCCTAGTGTGGGACCCCATCACAACTGCGCGATACTCGTTCAGGCAGCTGGTTGAGATTTGATTCTCTGAATTGCGGAATCACCGGCTTATACTTTTATACTTTGCTTGGCTTGGAAAACAGCAGGGCCTTGCATTCTTTTGACGACGGGCAACACTGCCAGTACTATGGTACAGAAGCCAGCAGCACAAGCAGCTTGTGCATGTTTCGAAGTCTCATTGGTCGTTTTCAGGATCAGGACCCTTCTCATCAACAGTGGGCAGAGCCTACGTCCTTTCAGTTTGTGGGTTTGCAGTGGTACGTTGCTGTGTGGCGAACACATCTTACGGTTGCTGCTTCAGCAAGAGGTCAGAAAGGTCTTCAGATTCAGCATCCAGCCTGCACGGGGTCAGCTCTGCAGCAACATGAGCGAGCACCCAGGCTACAGAAGACGCTCCCACAACACTATCCGGGCGCTCCAAACCTTGCAAGCTATCTTCAGGCTGTATGCCCTAAAGCCTCAACCTCCGTGCCGTGAGGGCTGGCTTCTCAATAGCGGGCCTGAACGGCATGTACGTGGAGAGCCGCAAGAAGGATGGGAAGCCTCAGTGACTTGCTGGTAGTCGCACCAAAGGTGTGGGCCTAGGGCCTAGCGTCTTATGCAGGGAGCGGAGGGAACTTGTTCTGGACAGCATGCTTTGAGGTTTGTGTGATGTTTGTGACGAAGTGTCTGCATAAGTTTCAGCGCAAGTCGAGCTTTTGGCGCTATGCTAAGGGCATGGCTCTTTCAGTCACCTGGTCTTGACCTTGTAATTTAGTTTTAGGGGGTTTCACTAAGTCATTCTGGCCAAGTGTTCGTCCTGGCAGAGTCGCAGCAGGCCAGTTGCAAAAGAGTAATCTGGGAAGGAGCTGATGGTCAATGACCGCGAGATCTACCACTCAAACAGCGAGCACTTTGGTGCGCAACGAATTGAAGTGCTGGATCCGGGCAGGACGGATAGACCGAGTGATATGGAATCGGAATCTAACCAGAGGTGATGGTGTCATTTGCAGGCAGCCGTTGCGAGTTTTAGCACAAGGTCCGAAGAGACCCGCCACTTCCTCTACTGGTCCAAGGCCCACCGCATGGAACAAGCATGAGCAAGCAAGTGAGGTCGCCTTGTGATATCCTTGATCTTCTCGAAATTTCAGCGAAACGAAACGTTCGACATCGCCCTTTGACCCACATCTGCGGGAGCTGCAGCGGAATGAGCTGTTGCGGTTTTACCCAGGCATGTCAAGGTCTGATTCTGTCTTTATCGGGCCAGACGTTCGTGTTGATCGCAGACACCGCGACGAACGACGACAACTAGCACTACGTACTACTTCTACTACTGCCACCACTTACTTGTGCCACTGCGCTGCTACTGCTGCTGCTGCTGCTGCTGCTACTACTACTACTACTACTACTACTACTCCTACTCCTGCTGCTGCTGCTGCTGCTGCTGCTGCTGCTGCTACTACCACCACTACCACTGCGTTGCTGCTTCTGCTGCTGCTCCTGTTCCTAATTTTCCTACCAGTCCTACTGCTGCGGCTGCTACCCCACGACTACGGTGCCGACAACGACAAGAGCAAGAACATCTAGCATTGCGCCGCTGGTAGTACTCCAGAGCAACAGAGAACAGCGAACGAATGCCTTGTGACTACAAGCGACCTTCCAGTAGCAACTTCAACAACGACGACTACGAAGACGGAGAACTGCGAATATGTTGTAGTCGTGGTCGTCGCCATCGTCGCTCTTGTCGCTGTTGCTGTTGCTGTAGTAGTGGTGGTAGTAGTAGTTGTTGTTGTTCTTCTTCTTCTTCTTGCTGCTGCTGCTGCTGTTGTTGTCGTTGTCGTTGTGGTTGTGGTTGTCGTTGTGGTTGTGGTTGTGGTTGTGGTGGTGGTGGTTGTTGCTGTTGTGGTTGTTGGTCGTCGTGGTGGTGTTGTTGGTCGTCGTCGTGGTGGTGGTGGTGCTGGTGGTGCTGGGGGGGGGGGTGCTGTCGGTGTTGTTAGCGTTGTTGTTGGTGGTGGTGGTGGTGGCGGTGGCTATCATCATAAATGGCATGTTCGGTGTGTTTCCGACTGTTGCTGGTGGTGGGATGATGGCTATGGTTGTAGATGTCGGTTGGAATTCTTGCAGCACTCCGGAAAGGCCGAGTCGAGATGGAAGGGGTCGCTCTTCAGCAACCTGCAGCTCATCCAGGCTTAGACAAACGGCTTGACAGCTGAGCACTACAATTGAGATTTCCAACTGCTAGCGTTGCTCGAGCGTGCAGCAGTCCACGGCCCACCACAAATGAAAAGATACCAAAAGATACAGCTCAAGTTACACTACATGCGATGACAGTGAAGGAGGGAAGGAGCTTGGCTGTGATCGGTGCTCCGCAGAATGCGGTGACTTGGCAGCATCCGACACGTTCTTGAAAATTGAGATTCGTGGCGTGAAATAGCATGATGGAAAGTAGAGACACAGACGAGCATCTTGAGCCCTTTGCCGGGCTCCCATTTCCTCCTACTCGGCGAAGCAGGCCTCGACGATAAATGCTCTTTTTTTGAATCCCCGCGGATGTTGTGCTGTCCATCGAAATCCGGGTGGACGTGTGGAAGCGCGGAGCATTCCCAGTGGCTTTCAGCGAGTATGTCGCAGCCGTATCACCTGTCGCATATGCCGTATATGCCAAGAGGAAGAATGAAATGAGCAAGGCCATAATGGACGACATGTCAACAACATGTACATTTCTTTTCATGTGCATGCGTGCAGCAACGAGAGCATCAGTGTAGGACCAATAAAACACAGAGTAAAGTGAGCAGAGACCATTATTACATGTTTGTTCCGTATCTGCTGTGATCGAGGACCTCCTGGATCCGGCGCTGCTCCGCGGATGGCACGCCACCTGCCAAAGTGTTTGCTTTAGGTGCCCCGAGTTACAGACACGCACGCGCACAGCTACCTACACATACATTCACATGCATACATGAACATACATAATATATGCATGCCGCATGCATACATATACATGTACACAAACATTTACGTAAACATGCACGCATATGCTCATACACAGGCATATGCACAATATGCATACAGACACAGTTACGTGCGGACGTGCCCCATGCAGAGGAGGAAGGGCGCAAGACACGGTCCTTGTTCACAAAGGCCCGGGCCCAGCTTGTCCAGGCCCGGGCCTACGTGCAGCGCACTTGCTGCCCAGCTTCTCCAGCATCTGGTCGGACGGCGCTTTGACGAGGCAAAACTTGCCAGCGCGACGCAGCTGTGCGACTGGATGCGTAATGAGCGCAAAGGCAGCAAAGCCCTTGCCGAGCTCAACCCCAGGGCGAGGCACGTGGCAAGGTGCAGCCCGCTCGGCGTGCATTGCAGGATTGGCCTCAGGAGCTGCCCGACTTGTGGCGGCACTTCCACCTCCTGCAGCCCCGAAAAACTGCGTTTGCCAGTAATGTCTTTGTTCCTTGCAGCCCCAGCGAGAACGAGGTGCACTTCGGAGTCGACACTAAGATGAAGGTCCTGGAAAGGGGGCCATGAGGTGGCAACCCTAAACATCCTCGTCAAGGACGAGTTGAGGAACACAACCCTCACACATGGGGGCCGGGAAGCGGGTGCAAGGCTGAGCTTACACCATCTGTGCCGTGCCCATCCGTGCCTTTCCTCCAAGCCGTCTTCAGTGACGAGGGCAAAGACAACCACGTACGGTTGTTCCGGCTCACCTGTGACCTGCGGGCCGATGCCAAGCCCGACGGGATCCCGACGGGCCTCCTGCTCTACGAGAAATGGAGCAGTCACTGTGGTGGGGCAAACTCCGCACCCCTCCGCACGCTTCCCGAAAAACAAGACCCTTCTCATTTGCGTGGAGAGGTCTTGGCACGTGCCGGTCGTAGCACGGCCTTGAAAGTTGCCGCACAGCAGCACGATGGTACATACATACATGCACACGTACAGCATGCATACACATTATATGGCGCACTTACTTGCTTCCTTACGTACCTCCGCACATGCATACAAACAAACAGTCATACGCATGCATGCATGCATGCCTACATACGAAGACAGACATTGCATTTACGGGTATGTATGTGTATTACCTCTTCTGTATATATATATATAAATACGTGCATATATACATATGTATGTATATGTATGTACATGCGTATAGCAGGCCTCCGTATCTATCTATGTATCTGTCTGTTTAAAATTTGTTTATTTATGTACCTACCATCTCTCAGCTATCTATCTGTCTATCTGTCTGTCCATCTATTCATTTATCCATGCATAAGTCTATCGATTTATCCAAACTGCAATTTTCTGTTTGTCTATCTGTACATGTACACATAGATGTAAGTATATGTGTTTGAACATACATACATACATACATACATACATGCATACATGTCCTTATATATGTATGTACATATATATATATACACACACACACACCAAATGATCTGGCATCCCCGCACCCTCTGCCTCCCACCTCCCGTCCCCCACCCTTCATTCCCCAGCCCTCACCCGTTGTCGGCAAGGTGGGGACAGGCGAGGAATCCGTCGAACATGTAGACGGTCAGGATTCTGCTACTGATCCCGGATCTAGTGTCGCACTACGGCACGTGCTACGCACAGATTTGGGTATGGGTTTTTAGGATTTACGTTTGGGTTTGGCGGATTGTAAACGGGGTTTATGGTTTCTAGGTTCAATCTTTTTGGGGGTTTAGGGCTAGGGATGATGGACTTGTCTTGTTGATTGCAATCCATATCCAGAATTCGGGTTTGATATGCCATGACCGTGACTCCCTCGCTTTAAACTGGAACTTGAAAACATAGATTGCCCATCTGTACCTTTGGGAACAGCACCGTGTGCTGACATGGGAGGGGCAGTCAGGCACAGTAGGAGGTTTGACGATTGGTACACATACGGTTGCAAAGTATAGTAGCCCTTGTAGTAGACATTACTTATCATAAGTTACTATAAGGGCTATTGAAATGTATTGACATTTGCAAAAGCAGAAGAGTTTGTGTTACGACTGCATCCAGCTCAGGAGTGGGCAGATGGCACCTGGGTGTACCGAGCCCTTGCCGGTGTGGCTTTGCTTGGTTCCTTAGGCCTTTCGGCCGCAAAAAGTGTCCGGTGATTGAGGGGGCCCGTGGGCAACAGTTACTGTTATTGCGGGTGTAGGTGGGCAGCATTCGTCCAAACAAACTTGAGAAGCCCAAGTGCAGCTCACCAATCGCTTTGGCAGCGGGCAGTTCTTGCAGAATGTAGCTAGTCACCTTGCGAATATTTGCGGTATTGTACCTGCGAGCCAGGTTATTCTCGTGCTTAGGCTTACACGTTGCGCATGCAGCTGTTTCGGAGACAGGCAGCAGCTTGAAATTCGAAAGCCCATGTCTTGCAGAGCATCGCCGGGAAGCCAAAGATACTTGATGTGTGTTGCATGACACCTTGGGCGATCGTACCAACGAAGCGGCTCGTCGGCTTCGAGCTGCTTGCACAGTGCTGAGGAGAAGACCTGGTCGTTAAAGACAAGGCGGGTGGTTGTCCTACCCTGCCCTCTCACCCTGCCTTTCTCCCTCTCTCCCTCTCCGTCTCTATCTCTCTCTCTCTCTCTCTGTGCCATTGCATGTGCTGACCAAGAAACGGTTTCTGCTCGCATGCCCCCTGGTCCTGAGTGAGTTTTACCAGGCTTTGAGAAATCAGGATGTGGAGGGAACGAAGAAGCGGCCTCTCGGCGCTGTTCAGAAGGGCATTGCGCCAGCAGATTTGGGACCTGTGGAATCATTGGAATCCTGGCGAAGCCGAAGGAAGCGGGACGACGAGGCGCCCAGACAGAGCTCACCTCGAGAGGAGCTGATCAAGGAGTGGGCGGGGGGGGGGGGGGACAGCTCGGACCAGAGCAAAAGTCCGCTATCCTCAACCATGTGGCGTGTCATCAAGATTGGCAGGATCGCGGGAGTGTTTGAGCAGTGCTTGCAAGGGCTCTCGAGAGAGTGTTTGCGATTGTGCAGGAAGTCTTTGCACACTTCGACTCCAATCGTGACGGCTTGCT